TATGAGAGAGAGAGGTGGGATGGGGTGGGTTGTATTTTTTATTTTTAATTTAAAAATAGTGAAGCAAACAAAAAGAAAATGAAAAAAGAAATAAAAATGACAAAAAAAAATCATTTTAACCACTTCCAAGTTTGAAACGGACCAAAATCGCAACAAAAAAAAAAAACTATTTTGGACTACTAACGCATCTCAAAAACTTTTTGGACCAAAGTGACAATTTTCGACATACCACATGTACCATTTGTAACACCTCAAATTTTAAACCAACTTTTCATTTTTAAATTACCAAAATAATGTTCACAAACCAAGTTATCCAAAAACATAAGTGTCAAAAACAAACATCATCATGAAATATCAGAGTATCTCAGACTGTCCAGTAACAAATCTACTGGCGAGTGTGTACAATCAGACATTCGCCTTCCCACGATCCTCAAAAGTATTTGAAACCCACAAATCAACAACTGTAAGCACAAAGCTTAGTGATTTCCCCAAGATACCACATACAACACATCATAAAATAAACAACTATGGGTTATCAGCAACCCTGGGGACTATCAGCAGTCCAAATGGGCAAACAGCACGCCCCGTGGATCATCAGCAACCCCTGAAGACTATCTGCAGTCTCAGTCACACATAAAAACATACACAATCATAACAGTTAGACCCAGCTGGTCATTACAAATACAACTGTTCTACCACACATGTAAGAATAAGTGAGGAGGCTCACCTGATACTGATGATAGATAAATCTCGCACCCGAACTGCCGAAACTAGACTCCGTCTAATAATACAATAATTAACTCTAATTAATAATTGAGGTCCATTACTCAACCCGCGAGTTCAAACCCACAACGAAACCCCTTAAGGTCAAAAAGTCCATTTTGCACCTCCCATGTTCCAAAGCCCTAAATCTTGACCAAAGGTCAAAAGTCAACTGTCCAGTGCATACGTTGGCGTACTCTCTTCCTACGCGGGGGATACATGAGAATTAGGCGAGGTCGGGGTCTCACCTGGCTACGCTGGACGTAGCCAGTAGTACACGGGGCGTATGCCGTCTGACCCCCAAAACCACTCCAAAATGGTCTTAATCATTAAGACATGCATCCAAACACAGATCTGGCCTTCTTAGAACGTCTTAATCCATCAAGTCTAAAAATTTAAGCCTTTGTATGGCTGAAATGAGCTTGAACCTAAAAACTCTAACTTAATCCACACTCAACACCACCACTTGCATGGCTAGAAATGGGCCATCAAGCAACCATTTTTATGATTCTACATGACCTAACATGCATGAAAGGATATCTAATATGCTCTGGAATTCCCCATACTTTTAAAGGTCCAAACTTTGGGACAAAAAGCTCATAAAAACTCATATATGGAGATCAAAAAGGAAACACATCAAGGTATATATTTTATACCTTCAAAAGATGCACAAGGAGGAGTAGTTTCTGGATCTATAAGCTTGCAAGCAACACCTCCTTCTTCAATAGCCTTCTTCTTCAACAAATAAGCACCAAAAATCACTAATAAGCTCCAAACTCTCACCAACAAGGCTTAGACTCAAGATTAGGGTTTTTGAGGGAAGGTGGCTGATAAATTTGTGGCATAAAGAGGATTAAATAGGGGAGTAAACCCTTAAAATTATGGTTTTGAGGCTAAGCTAGTACGCCCGGTGTACCACACGTACGCCCGACATAATAGCATGGCTTCCGCAATCTGTTCTCACGAGTACACTGTGCGTACCCACATGTACGCCCAATGTACGGGCTGAAATGAAAAACTCAACCACATGGGGACCAAATATACAAACTTCAATTAGGTTAAGGGATAAAATGGAAATTACCTGATATTCGGATCTTACAATTCTCCCCCACTAGAATCAGACTTCTCCCTTGAAGTCATCCTTGGGAAACAGATCAGGATAGTGCTCGCGAATCTCAGACTCGGGCTCCCACGTCCACTCCGAGCCTTTCCGGTGTTGCTACTGAACTTTGACCAAGTTCACTACCTTGTTCCTCAAGGTCTTTACTCTCTGATCCAAAATTGCCACAAGCTTCTCGATGTAATTCAGGAAATCATCGACCTAAATGTCCTCCAAAGGGACCACAACTGTCTCGTCAGCTATACACTTCCTCAACTGGGAAAAATGGAAGGTATCATGAATCTGCCTCAACTCCTCCGGCAGCTCCAACCGGTAAGCCACCTTGCCTACACAGGCCGATACTCGAAAAGGACCAATAAACCTAGGACCAATCTCCCAACTCGCCACTTTGTTGGGGAACATCTTTTTCTAAAATGAATTTCATATTCAACGGAGTCCTTGGGATGTTCCTCCTCTGCCAATATTTAATGTTGTCTAATAAATTTTCCACCCAAGCCTCAAATTTGGTAAACATTCCATCTTACTCAAATCTTTGATAAGCACTGTTACCGAGACTGTCATAAAGATGGACTTCCATTGAGTCCAGTCATAGTTCACCAAACAACCAATGATTTTGAAAAGAATGAATCGACATGTAAACCTGTACAAAGTGTATAAAATAATTAGTTAATCATATTACGATAAAAAATGATAATAATTAAATTAAGTTCAATAAAACTAACAATATACCATATCCACATCCCACCAAGGAACCATAAAGTTGGGGTATGTAGCTATCCCAGACATGAATACCCTCCAATCAAAACCATCTTCGAGCATATGGCAAACAAAAAAATTTGGAGGCATTATTATATACCGATCAGTTTCAAACCGTCTCTCCATCAACAATCTAATCTAAATCGTTATATGTTGCGAAAGTTATGTTAGTTATAATTTAATAAATAAAAATCAATTATAATCATAAATTTATAAATACTTACTGCTTGATCTAACCAGCCGTTGTGTGTATGCCCAAACAACGCACTCCAAAACTCTTTATCTAATACCAAATTGTAGAATCGGTGTTCCACGTTATACGTATGAAAAGAATAGTTTTGTAACACAACCTCACCACCTGCTGGTTGTTGATCTGGTATCAACCTTCTTCTTTGCTCTTTGTTTTGGCTTTGGTGTCGTGTGTAACTAAAACAATTCTCAAACATTTAAATCATTATGTTTTGAAATTTTGAAATAAAAAATATTCTTCCAATATTATATTTTAATGTATACCTCCGTGTATGGAGTACACTTATACTTTGATGGATTACGAAGCCTAGCTCTATCGGATGTAGCTTCATTATCATCAAAAACATGATCATCAAAGTGATTTGTAGTCCCTGTAATTATTACCTCTTCATCTAACACCTACATTAATACGTAAGGATAAATAAAATGTATGTATTTATTAACAAATAATATCATAAATGTAAGTATAATAACTTGTTCATCTTCATTATCTGAATAATCAAAAACATGATCATCGAATTGATTTCTAATCCACCCCCTTTCGTGCCCCTTTTCGTCCAACACCTACATTAATACGTTATAATTATTAACAAACAATATACATAATTAGTTACAATTTATATCATAATTATAATGTATAATAACCTTTTCAGGTTCATTATTATCAAAAACATTTTCATCGACTTTGTTTGTAGTCCAAGCCCCATCATCTAAAACCTACATTAGTACCTTTAAATGATTTTATATATATATATATATATATATATATATATATATATATATATATATATATATATATATAT